GACTGCATTCAATATCAATTTCATTCCAATTCATTTTTCACCGGTAAATTAAACCTCTCTTATCTACGGGATTTTAGGGTATACAATAACTTATGACATAGTTACCCACCTACACGTCAACACGTCGGTACACTACTAGACACCGAATTTCATTTGTGTAGTCAAACTGATCGCATTTGAGGTGGTCTACAAGCATTTCTCACCAAAATTTTCTTTGCCATCGTTTGATGCATGCAGTAGTGCGGAGCAGCCGAACTGATACATAGTACTGTTGACGTCAATTTTCTATACAAGCCTATTGATTAATCCTGATTGTTGAGTTTAAATTCCCACAATCTTCAGATTAGTCTTTTTCTTCTTTGTTGATTAACACTGGTTTGACTGCTTCTTCGCTTGAGGCACTAACTGTGCACACTGCACGGAATGAATTGATGTTTTACTGTATCAGTTTCATGCTGAGCGTTGGTTATAGCATTGTTCACATGGATATACAACTTGGAATTCGTTACAAAAACTTTTGACCAGAGTTTCTTCTAATCGTGCCCCTCTCTGTGTGCAGATCCGGCTTTTGCGGTGCAAGGCTGAAGCCCAACTACCTCCAGAGCATGCATGACTGTCTTTGTCGACTTTAACCTTGTCATTGCTTCTTTCGTATTTCCGGTCACAAAATTGGCCAGATGGTTCGTTCCAGATGATAGACAGACTTCCGAGGATTCCTTCGCATGACTTGTTTCACGTAGGAAAATTCCTTATGATTTTTTTTACCCAAACGGCACGCCGCCGGCGTTGTGTGAGGATTCCTTCGCATGACTTGTTTCACGTAGGAAAATTCCTTATGATTTTTTTTACCCAAACGGCACGCCGCCGGCGTTGTGTGAATTTAACATTGTTTTCGGGTGGATGGTTACAGTGGTCGCCACGTTGTCGCATACATGCACGCGAACGGGTGCAATGTCCGCCATACGCATACATGGGAAACGGCAGGAGCCAGGGCCTAGTGACAAATCTGATATATCTTGTTCGTGAATCACTGGAACTATTCATAACAGCTATGCCAACATTCTCATCCTGCTATCGCAATGCACTGACTTGCTTTGAGATCACTACAAAGCATGGGAGGTTATTGCGTTTTTTTGGAAAACACCAGACTTCATTGTCCAAATTGTGTTCTTATCCTAGCTGAAGGGAACCACTATGTTTCGTACTGCATCTGTCATTCAGTTCCAGTGAAGGATACAGTATTCAAACCTAATAGTGATTGCTAAAGTTTGCTGTGATGAATCGAAGATTCAGCAAGGATACACACCGTGAACAGTTCAATTTCCAGGGTGAAATCCGTTTTGAATCCGCCAATATCTTTATGGACGGCCAGCCGCGAAGTGCAGGTCGTGGCGCTCCTCAGCTGCAACTCTGTGTGTGTCATAGTGGACGACTTTTTCTCGCTACTCAGTCGGCCGACTGTCGAGCCGATCGGAATATTTGCCAATAATTCCTCATTTTTGTATGTACTTGTGTCTTCAGGAGTGAAAGTTGAGAATTTTTTTGCCATTTTTCATCATTAATCATTGCCCTTTTTGTCCTTCACTCAAACTTGATATCGTTAATCCATAGCCTGCTCTTGTTGCACTACGAGATGATTATAATTCTCCAGTATGCTGAACCCTAGGCTGAGCTGTCCCTTGGTTGTTTTTGTGCTGAAGATCAGTCTCTCGAATGCGGTTTTCTTCAGTGCATACTTAATAATGCTAGCATTCTATATCAGGAGAGAGATAAGACTCAGTGGGCGTGAGATTGTCCTGTTTTTTGGCTTTCTATGTAATACAGGGTGTTCCAGAATTGTGGGAGCCAATTCATGGCAATGTATTTAAAGCTTCTCAGCTGTGAATGACAATGGAATCTATATACACTTTTGCTCATATCGTGCTACAACAAGCTACAGTCACATTTCAAAATATCCCCTATGAGCGTAGATACGGGCTGCTCTCGAACACCCTCGCACGTTGCACGCAGGCATCCTACTCCACTTACCAGCCTTTTTTGTGTCTTGTTTTTTTAGGACTCAAAACTGGGACTGGAAACCCGGCAGGTCCTCGGGGACCATATGGAGAAGCCAAGTTAGTTAAGATCTTAAAAGCAAGATGGATTTCCCTGTTTGCTAATGAAGTCGGGCAGCTAACGTCGGCACCACTCCTAGGCTTGTTCGGCTCTGTGGACTGGTGCACCATCCTGCTGGGAGGGCTACGAGCTGTTTCAGGAAGCGGAGTTGAATCAGTCTTTCATTACGCCCTTCAGTATGCCCTTTGAGCACAGGTCTTTCTTAATTTACACGCCGGCACCGACGAACCACGAGCGTCTTACATCTGCCAGAGACTTCCTCGAAAAACATCATTTTGTTGTTCTTATAGTAGTTTTTTTTGTGAGAGATTGCACTTTTGTAATTCTATACAAAACACGATCGTTTTAATTTTTGAGGAATGATTTTTGCATTAAAATTTTTGAGCTGTAGAAAACGATGGAGGGATGCGTGTCTCAATTTACGCAAGCCTACAATCTCCTGCATTTTTTCACCCTTCACTGTCTGTTGAGACCGGAAATAAAGTGGGAATTTCGCCTACGATAGGAATGGCAATAAAGCTTCTGCATGACGTTCTTCCATTGCGTTAACTCTGATAATCCATGCCCCTTGACTTCCTTTTGATGGGTTACCCAGGATCACGACCGACTGGAAGACGGACCATTTTTATAGTCCTATACTTTGAAAAAAGTGGCCTTTCTACCCCTTCTTGCTTTGTCTCCGATTCAATCTTCTTTTCTATATCGTTTAACAGCCTCTTGTAAGGCTATTGTAAAAATCCCAGTGAGTTTCATAATGTTCCACCTCTTGCGTGTTAATGATTGCAAGTGGCATTGAATGATCCTCCTACATCTAAAACATATTGGAAGTTTCCCCTCAGTATCCATTTATTTTGCAAGAAAACCTTCCTATGCAACTATTTAATAGCGGGTGAAGGGAGTATGGAAAATTACTTCAGGTTCAGAAGTTTCTGAATTACGGCGCCCATAATTTTGAGACACCGTGTGCACATCTACGAGGGTAGGGCGCTGCGCAGTAGTAAGTAGTTCCGAAATTAAACGGAAGTGGTCACAGCTATGCGGCTTTGATGAAATAATAAATTGGTCTGGCTTGAGTTGGTCGATGCTTTTTCCTGCTGTCTTTGTAAATACAATTGTTCGAAAACTTCCTTGATGTTCTGACCATTAGTACAGTTACTCTTCAAACTTTGTTACTTATATTAGTCGTGTCGGACACGTTTTCCTAGTTAATATAGCTCTTCCGTTCCGATCCCATCGTCGAGTGAAGTCGCACACACAACCTTGTTGCAGTTTCGAATATCGTTTTACTCTTCTTATTCAACGAGTATTGACTTGGTGTGTCGGTTTGCTTGTCGATTTCTTGGTTTGTATCTGCTGGTCAATCTGCTTAGAGTTTGTCGGTTCGTCTGTACGTTCGTGAAACTCCCATAATTGACTGACTGACTAGTAGCCATTTGTACCCCTGTATGGTGATAATATTTTTCGTCTCGGTGGTACGTATAAATTAGTAGCGGTCGAGATCGATGCGTGGCGGCGATTGAACGATTAATCATTACTAAACTTCTACAGGGAAGCAATCACATAATTGTTAAAGAATACATGCATTGAAGTGCAAATTCACAAATGCCAGTTAATATGAGACTATTTAAACAAATCCTGTGATTCTTCCCTTTATTTTGTAGATCTTGCCATTATTTTCGTACAGGATAGGCCAAAATGATGATGACAAAGCGTGCTGACGCTCATACCAAGTTCTTTCTGAGTTTATAACGAGTTCGCTCTCTTCCATTTCACTATTTCCTTAGCAGTGATACTGAACTTTTGGCAGATTTTGAAAATAAGGCGTCGCTTCCCTATGAATATCGCTTTCCACTTAGAAGCACTTTTGGCACGGTGCATCTGCAGGCATTTCAGCGTAATAAGGCAGGTGGTACATTCAGCCATAAGACGCTTTCGAGTGTTGGGAACAATTGCAGATGGGAGCGGCAAACCTAACAGGCCTGCGGTTTTATATTTTGGGAGAATGTTAAGGAAGCAGGGCGAAGGTCTGCGTAGCAGCAAATTCACTTTGAGCCCAAAACGGCCAAATGAATGGATATCTCGTGAAGTTTTCTGCGCAAGATCGTGAAGCATCATCTGCACAACAAGGTGCTAAAGAGAAGAAAAAGGTTGACTTATAGGAGTTGCCTCGCCGCATCCGAAAAATTGTCGTACTGAACTCCTGTTCACCGACTAAAAGATATTCACGGTGAAAAAGGTGCTCAATAAGTAGATCGACAAGATTTATATGAAGCTGAAAGAAATGAAAGTGAGGCAGTGCTAGGCTCACTTACTTTCTGCGAGCGTCATCGCCGAGTCACAACCATCGATTACTTCTGCAAATAAAGAAGAGAAAGTTGATTTGGAGGCCTCTTCGATTTCGTTTCACGCAATAGGACACTTTGGCGATTCAAACCGGACAAATTGTCAAAATGAAGCTCCTGACCGCAGATCAAGATTGTCTAGAAATTTCGTAAAAGGAGTTCCCTGACTTCATAACCTGCAATCAGTGGTCACACTCTGGAACCCTGACATGAATCACTTGGATGTCTGAGTGGATCAACCTTGGAAATAAAAGTATCACTTAGCCTAAAAGAGAACTGAAATAATCTCGAATATGACTCGCAACAAGTCGCGATCAACTCGTTGACCTTAGCTGCGTGCCACAGTCAAAGCCGTCTCTGGGGTTGGGTGAAAGCAAAAAGCAACAGATGTCAGTCTCAATGTACTATTTTCATAAGAAATTAATGATAAACATTTCTGCAAAATTGGTTGCTTTATTAGCTTTCTAATCGTTTTCGGAGATGTGATGTCTGTGTAATCATAATTTTGGTCCACCCTGTAGAACTGGGTAGCGTAGCGAATCTTTTACAGGTCTTTTATGGCGTAGCAAATAGAGATGTTTCTTCTGGAGTCTCACACTGTTTGTACGACATGCTGTTTGTGAATCACTGTCAGGAACCTTCGAGCCCGATTGTAGTCAAACGCTGCTCCTTGAGCTTTCGTCAAGTAATACCGGAGATAGTCGCGGTCTAACCAGCTTGGGACCTGTTTACTTTCTGGGCTTGTGATCCCTACTTTCGTCGAAGCACCTGGCCAAATACCGTTCATTTTCGTTACAAATTCTGTAGATAGAGTCTATAGTGTATACCAGACCGTACATTATGGACTTGTGAAGGCCATTACAAGATCTGTTAACTAGAGTGAAAGAAATGCAAGATTATTGCAATGTTTACGAAATCAAATGTGATAGATATGGAACTGGTCGCGAGGCCCTCGAAAATGACAGTAACATTGATGAAATGAAGTGGAAAATACTGACACTCTTTTTAGTCATTACTTCTCACTTTTTGAGCAGTACAACCGAGTTTTTTTCACCGAAGACTTGTTTTGGCTTACGTTTCTCGCCGTCTTTGCAGGCTGGAGAGCCACATAAAATTTCCGTTTAAGCGCTGTTCCAACCTATAGAAGATGTCCTATGAAGGTGTGAATTACTATCACGAAATCGGGAGCACCATCTTTATTGTACAGTATAATGTTGCAGAAAGTCTGCAAGGAACAATGGACCTAGGCACAGTTAAAATTGATTTACAAAAGTAAATTGAGTTCTCTGTAACTCCATATTACGTGTAAAAGAATTGAGTGCAGCTTCCATGAAGAAGAAGTCAAGGTTGCTATTAGTATCGCCAGAGGAGCTGTTTCAGGCTTGGATTCCGAACGCTTCAGCGAGTTTTTCCTTCGCTTCACTTGGCTGAAATAGCATAGTCACGGTGCGACTTGATCGAATTCTTTCCCACTGATCAATCCGTCTTGCGATGTGGCTCGAGGCACGTCAGAGCTAAGTGCTAACTTGGACCCAGCTTTTGCCCGGATTCGCTGTGACATATGGGTGCGTCTTACATTACTCACACAGACTAGTTGGAATACCAATAATCACTCTTTTCACTTTTATGGATGGCTACAATATCAATTAGACAAACGGACAGACGGACAATTTCCAGAAGCTCCAGGGTAGAGCAAGGGTCTAGTCGTGGATTTATTCTTAGCATCATACACCTAGGGACACACTGAATCCCCTTTTTGGTAAAAATCCGAATGATTGCACCTGCTCTAGAAGTTAGCATGGGCATAGGCGTAGGCTTTAAAGGCACAGCTCATGATAAAAATGGCATCTGATTCTTTCAGGAGTACCCAGTGGCTGTCAAGGATGACAGAGAGAACGCTATCCACTCTAAAAAAACTCTGCAGCTAGGGCCAGCGCGAGTACCGTTACCAGATCGCCCGGATGCCCCGCCCCTCGACCAATGTCGTGTCTATCGAAGGGTGCCTGCGCCTTTTGTGCTCTGTGTCTCTGACATCAGACCGTAGAGCGCATAGAGAATGCGTAAGGGCAGGGACTCGGGGTGGGTGAGATGATTATGAAAACAAAAAGCTGGGCATCAAACCAACTCTGCGCTCTAGCGCGGTCCCTGAACTGTGCCATCTGGTGTTAGAGACGCGGAGCAGAGCGTCAACTCGCTCAGACGCTCCTCTCACGCCCTTTTTTGCCTGAAACTCGTCCAACTCTCATTTTACTAGTTTTTTGTATCCTTATATTCTCTCTTATACACCGTTTTTGTGCTTTGTTCGTTATTTTTGCACTATTCTAGACTGGCAACAATGCATATCCGCTTGTTAGCGACTCCTTCATAAAAATTTCCGGTTCTGTCACAGCCATCTGGTTTCCCTTTCCTGCCTATGCTGGGTGTGGCATGTGCTTCTCTCGATCGTACATGAACCTCACTTAAAGTTCTCGTGTGTCGGAATTACCGTAGCGCTATATAAGCTTCACAAAACCGTTTGTTTACTCAGGGATCGCTTTCTTAGTGTTCCGCCTTAACCATAGTTGATGGACAGACAGACAACCCGTCTTGTCCAAAACAACTAGGTTGCTAATAGATTCGGGTACTCAATGCACACTTGTCTAACTCTCGCTTAAAGGTACAGTTCACGATTAAGATGCTTTCTACGACTTTCTACTAGGATTACCCAGTGGCCCCAAGGGTAACACAGTGATCGCTGTCGGGACGAAAAACTCATTAGGAAGAGCATAACAGAAGCCCGTTACCGGATTCCTCAACGTCCTCGCCCATTGACCGGTGATGTATCAGACGAGTGTCGAGGCGAAACAAGCTGCGCTCTTCCTTCCAGGACCCACGTGCTAACTTGGACCCAGCTTATGCCCGGATTCGCTGTGATATATGGGTGCGTCTTACATTACTCACACAGACTAGTTGGAATACCAATAATCACTGTTTTCACTTTTATTGATGGCTACAATATCAATTAGACAAACGGACAGACGAAAAATTTCCAGAAGCTCCAGGGTAGAGCAAGGGTCTAGTCGTGGATTCATTCTTAGCATCATGCACCTAGAGACACACTGAAACCCCTTTTTGGGTAAAAATCCGAATGATTGCACCTGCTCTAAAAGTTAGCATGGGCATAGTTAATTCCCGCCTGAGGTC